TCACCGTGTTAGCCAGGATGGTCTCGATCTCCTGACCTCGTGATCCACCCGTCTCGGCCTCCCAAAGTGCTGGGATTACAGGCTTGAGCCACCGCACCCGGCCCCATTTCTACTAAAAATACAAAAAATTAGCCAGGCATGGTGGCACGCACCTGTAATCCCAGCTACTCGGGAGGCTGAGGCAGGAGAATCGCTTGAACCCAGGAGGCGGAGGTTGTAGGGAGCCAAGATCGTGCCATTGCACTCCAGCTTGGGCAACAAGAGCAAATCTCCGTCTCAAAAAAAAGAAAAAGAAATATAGCATATAGAAATATACATACATGTATAAATATATGGAAATATACATACGTACACACATATATTCATTTACTTATGTATTAACTAACTTTATAGGTTTCTCTCCCTCTCTTTTTTTTTCTTTGCAATATATTACAAAGGCCAGGCGCAGTTGCTCATACCTGTAATCCCAGCACTTTGAGAGGCCAAGGCGGGCGGATCACCTGAGGTCAGGAGTTTGCAACCAGCCTGGCCAGCATGGGGAAAACTTGTCTCTATTAAAATACAAAAAATTAGCTGGGCATGGTGGTGTGCGCTTGTAATCCCAGCTACTTAGGAGGAGAATCGCTTGAACCCAGGAGGCAGAGGTTGCAGTGAGCAGAGATTGTGCCACTGCACTCCAGCCTGGATGACAGAGCAAGATCCTATCTCAAAAAAAGAAAGAAAGAAACCACCTAGTTTGACTTGTGGAGTTTCCCACATCTAGGTTGCATCTCTGTGGTATTATTCAACATGTTCCCCTATTCACTCTATTTCCTGTAACTTGGTAGTTAGATCTAGAGACTTGATAGGATTCAAATTTGATTGTTCTGTCAGGAATACTTTATAGCTAGTATTGGGTACTTCTATTAGGCAGCACATAATGTCTGGTTGTTTCTCTTTTGGTAATGTTAGCAGCCATTAATGATAATTGCCGAGGTCTGTTATTTAATTGAGGGTTGATAAAACTGTGATAATCTAATTCTATCATTTGTTAATTCATTAGGATATCTCTCTAAATAGAAACTTCCCCTCATCAATCATATGGATATGTGGGGAACAGTTCACACAGAAAAGGCATAATAAGTGCTTGATTCTTTTCATTCTTTTACCATTACTAAAGGAGTTGGTTCTGTTAGCATCCTTCAAAGGTGAAAAATGAACTTTTGTTTGTTTGTTGTCCAGTAATTCTAAATGTCATCCCTTCAAGGAACCATTGTATTTGGTTCTTTCCTTAGTTCAGGTTGATGATCTCGTGATTTGTGTGTCATTATGTACTTGGAGCTTTTGGTCACCTGCTGGTTAATACAAAGTATATTGTCATTTTCTAGGTTCGCCTGGAAATCAATGATCCAAAAGTCATTTCACAAGAGGAAGCAGATAGTCCTTCAGATAGTGGACAGGGCAGCTGTGAAACAATTGGACCCTTGAGTGAAGGAGGTTTGTAATAGTAATTTTATTTTTAGGAATAGTATGCAGGAGCCTCAGTTGTAAGTAGATTGGATTAATTTCATTATTCTCTTGATTTATTACATTAATGCCCCATCCTTATTGTTTGTTTTATTATAAAAGCAAAATAACAGTGCTTGTACCTTTTTGAAACTATGTTATATTGTTGAATGTCTAATAGCTACCACATTGCCTGGTTAATTGCATCCATCCTATGATAAAAGGAATTTTAACACCTGCCAGAGGATTAGAACAACTTCACACATTGTAAATATACATAAAATTACATTTCCCAGTAAGAGACATTTTTCCCAGGGAAAATGTTTTTCAAAATGTATTTTTAGATTTTGAAAATTTAAATCTAAATTTTGCTTTAAATTGTAGCTTTGCTACAATCAGTTCTTAATAGTAGTTATATAATTTCACAATGTAATATATTACTTGTATAACTGAATATATTTTTGAGGAGTAGTGGGACTAGGAGGAAGATCAAATGATGGTATAATTAAAAGAAAATTGTTTCTTCCAGATTCAGATGAAGAGATATTTGTAAGTAAGAAGTTGAAAAACAGGAAGGTTCTACAAGACAGTGATTCCGAAACAGAGGACACAAATGCCTCTCCAGAGAAAACTACCTATGACAGTGCCGAGGAGGAAAATAAAGAGAATTTTTATGCTGGGAAGAATACAAAAATCAAAAGGATTTACAAAATTCTGGCAGACAGTGATGAAAGTTACATGGAGAAGTCTTTGTATCAGGAAAATCTCGAAGTGCAAGTGAAACCTTGCTTAGAGCTGAGTCTTCAGTCTGGAAACTCTACGGACTTTACCATTGACATAAAGAGTTCCAAAAAGCACACAAATGATAAAGAAGGAACTGCAGGAAAAGCAAAAGTAAAATCGAAAAGAAGACTTGAGAAAGAGGAGAGAAAAATGGAAAAAATTAGACAGCTGAAAAAGAAGGAAACAAAAAACCAGGTACATTTTAAAGAATAATTTGCTATTGCTTGGGTAGGTTAACATTTTAGAAAAGGTTGCTGTTAGTACTTGAGGTTGTTTCTGCTTTCCAAATATTGCTTTGAATTGACTATTTTGTGTTGAGAATAATAGGGTATGTTATTTAAAACTAACTGGTCTTGGCCAGGTGCAGTGATGCATACCTCTAATCCCAGCACTTTGGGAGGCTGAGGCCAGAGGGTCACTTAAGCCCAGGAGTTCAAGACCAGCCTAGGCAATAGAGTGAGATCCCATCTCTACAAAAACCTTAAAAATTAGTTGGGTGTGGTGGCCGTAGTCCCAGCTGTAGTCTCAGCTACTTGGGAGGGTGAGGTGGGAGAATCACTTGAGCCCAGGAGGTCGAGGCTGCAATAAGCTGTAATTGTACTGCTGCATTCCAGCGGGGATGACAGAGTGAGACCCTGTCTCAAAAAGCAAAACAAAACAAAAAAATAAAACTTATTGGTCTTATTCTATTTTGGGTATGCAGAGGACATTTCCAAATAAATGGGTTTCTTATTTTCTTTATGAGCACATGGAGTAATTCTTTGCTGTCTCTGAGCTGATGAATATTAACTGAAAGAAGGCTTTTTAATGCATCTGTCAGTCAGAAGTCTTGTTTGCTAACTAGAAAAACCATCCTCAGATTTATAAACTAGTTGCTTAACAAGTATTTGACTTTTCAAAAAAAATTTACTGCTTATTAAGTTAGTTTTAGACAGTTGCATAAAATCACAACTTGGACTTCAAAGGATAAGTGTGAGTTAGGAACCAGTGAGAATGTTCTAGATTTTATATGCTTGTCTGTTGATGAAACATGGGCTTTTTCTGGCCTGATCCAAATTGCCATATGATGTTGTGAAATACTGGATTTTTAAATGATTGGATTATCCTTTTTGTTTGTGTATTATCTAGGAAGATGATGTAGAACAGCCATTTAATGACAGTGGCTGTCTTATTATGGATAAAGACCTTTTTGAAACTGGGTTGGAGGATGAAAATAACTCTCCATTGGAAGATGAAGAGTCAATAGAATCAATAAGAGCAGCTGTAAAAAACAAAGTAAAAAAGCACAAGGCAAGTAAAACATGATTGCAATAAGAGTTAACCAACTGCCTCTGACCTTTGCTATATTTTTAATTTACTGTTGGAACCTTAATTTTTTCTTTTTTTAACTGAAGAAAAACGTGTCAATTGACTTAAGTTTTCAGCTGTTAATTTTGGAGACTTGCAGTACAAGTGATAGACGTGCTAACTTATTTGGAAACTAGTTCTTTGTTATTACCCTTTTAGGAATGCTGAAAAAAAAAGACAAAGATACTTGACGGTGTAGTAAGATGCAAGTAAATAATAGGGAAGAGATGTAAATTTTGCAGTCCTATAGCCTTTGAGAAATTAACCCTATAGCGTTTCAGGAAGGGTATCAAAGAGAGGCATCAGTCAAAACATTGTTGTCCCGAGAATTTGGAAGCATAATTTTTCTTCCTAAGATTTTTTTTTAGCTTCCTGCGAGTTATTATCCCTCTTTAGGGAAAGATGTAAGCAGAAGTAAAAGAAATAAGGGTCCAAACTCCATTTGAGGTATCTAATTTGTTTTCTAAGCATAATAGGATGCTGTGTGTTAATAATTTCTATTCGATGATTATTGATTTATTAATGTAGCATGATGTGGTGTTGGACGACAAAAGTAGACTTCAACTAAATCATCCTCTTATTTGAATTTTGTTTTTGTCCTAATAATCAACATGCCATTTCTTTTAGAAAACAGAACTATCTTTGGAGAGTGGGGTCTATTCATTTGAGGAAGAAAGTGAGTTACCAAAAGGAACCACGAGGAAGGTGAGGTAGAGCCCTGTATATTAGTCACATTGATCTCTTTACACAGGAGTTTATGGATTGCTTAGGGATAAATATTTTATTTTGTCTATCATATTTTTCTGTTACCCATCATATTGCTTTGTACATAGTAGGAACAAAATATGGATTGGATTGAACGAATTCTCTGAGACTTGAATGAATTCTCTAAGACTTTAAATGAATTCCTTGAGTTTATACTGCATTTGGCTTACTATTTCCTTTCCTCTTTTCTTGGAGAGAACAAACTCTTGAGGGATGAATATCTATCTTTCTGGATATTCATGTAATTAATGTAGTCTCACTTTTTGTTTTCTTTAAGGAAAGAAAGGCAGCCAAATTAAGTAAAGAAGCATTAAAACAACTGCATAGTGAGACTCAGCGCCTTATTCGAGGTAATGCAACCCAGTAAACTTTGAGGCAAAATCACAATGTTTCTTGGTAAGCTCAACTTGGATGTTGAGGACTTTTATTTTTTTAACACTTCTAATGTGAACTCAGGTTATAATATCAAGTTTAGAATTTATCTTGGTGAAAGGCCATTGTTCTAAAGCCCTTGGAACATTAGTATAAAAAGAAATTTTCAGAATTGTAATGCAGGTAAGGAGGAAATTTAATGGTTGTCTGTGGACTGATTCTGTTAGGATTCTTTGGAGAGGTAGTAGTCCCTCTTTATTTGCAGTTTTGGTTACCCGTGGTCAGCCATGGTCCATGGAATTTAAAAAAAACATCCCTTTGTCCAGTGTATCACACTGTAGATGTTACCTGCCTGTTAGTCAGTTAGTAGCCCTCTCAGTTATCAGATGAAAAAAACACTGCATGGTTTAGTACTATCTGCAGTTTCAGGCATCCACTGCAGGTCTTGGAATGTATCCCTGTGGATAAGCAGGGACTACCATATATAAATTTTTAGGCTCCACAGAGATTCTGATTCAGTAGGTTTGAAATGGGATCCAAGAATCTGTATTTCTAAAAAACTTCCTAGATCATTTTGATTTCACATCTAGGTTTAAAAGCCATTGGTCTTCAGGGAACTCTTCTGTACTTAGCTCCTCTGCCTTTGTTAAAGGGGAGTTTTCTATTTCTAGTGATGGCGTTGGTTATTATGTGTGGTTAACTGAATATGAAGTGACATTTCAGAATATACAGTATATATATTTGCTTGTTTTATTCTGTTTTATAGAGTCTGCACTTAACCTTCCGTATCATATGCCTGAGAATAAAACCATTCACGATTTCTTCAAACGTAAACCCCGGCCCACTTGCCAGGGAAATGCCATGGCACTACTGAAGTAAGAACACTCTTATTATTATATTAAATTATTATTTTCATGAACATTTAGTTTTGTAGCAAACATCTGGCATAAAAAGTTCAGATTTCTCACTCCCTTAAAACTGATTTAACTGATGTATACTAAGGGATGAGAATGTTTCACATTTAGGATAATTTTCAACTCCAGCTCATTTTCTCTTCTCTAGGTCATCTAAATATCAGTCAAGCCATCACAAAGAAATCACAGACACTGCAAATACCACTGAAATGAACAGTTATCACCACAGTAAAGGTTCTGAGCAGACAACGGGTGCAAAAAATGAAGTGGAAATTAATGCACTCCCTGTGGTTTCAAAGGAAACCCAGATCATTACTGGATCAGATGAGTCTTCTGGGAAGGATTTGGTAAAAAATGAAGAGCTAGAAATTCAGGAGAAACAGAAGCAGAGTGACATTAGACCTTCACCTGGGGACAGCTCGGTGGTGCAACAGGAATCCAACTTCCTTGGGAACAATCACAGTGAGGAATGTCAGGTTGGAGGGCTTGTAGCATTTGAACCTCATGCCCTGGAGGGTGAAGACCCCCAAAATCCAGAAGAAACAGATGAGAAAGTGGAAGAGCCTGGGCAGCAAAATAAATCATCAGCAGTTGTGCCACCTGAAAAAGTGAGAAGATTTACTCTGGATAGACTTAAGCAACTGGGAGTAGATGTTTCCATTAAACCACGGCTAGGTGCTGATGAAGATTCCTTTGTGATACTTGATGAACCTGAAACCAACAGAGGTAATCCTTTAAATTGTGGGGAGTCTCCCTGGTGTGATTATCCTGGTAGCTTTTGATTATTGACCACTGTCGAGGAGAGAGAACATAGAAGAAATCAATAACCACATGTGATCTTATCCTGCAGTTGTTCCAGATATGGGCAGAATCCCTTTTAGAGAAATTTGGCAGGGTATCAGAATGATCTAAGCCATGTTTAAAATGGAAGTCTGTTGGCCAGGTGTAGTGGCTAACGCCTGTAATCCCAGCACTTTGGGATGCTAAGGCGGGCAGATCACGAGGTCAGGAGTTTGAGACCAGCCTGGCCAATATAGTGAAACCTGTCTGTACTAAAAATACAAAAATTAGCCCGGCATGGTGGCATGCATCTGTAGTCCTAGCTACTTGGGAGGCTGGGACAGGAGAATTACTTGAACCCAGGAGGCAGAGGTTGCAGTGAGCTGAGACTGCACCATTGCACTCCAGCCTGGGTGACGGAGTGAGACTCTCTCAAAAAAAAAAAAGCTTGTTGATAGTTAATGTAAAAATGAGGTACATTGCTATTGTGTTATGGTATTTAGGAATTTATTATTTCTGCCTTTCCAATCTGAAATTAAGTTTTTTCTATAATCCTGAGTCAAATCTTTTTTTTTTTTTTTTTTCTGAGACGGAGTCTCCCTCTGTCGCCCAAGCTGGAGTGCAGTGGTGCGATCTTGGCTCACTGCAAGCTTCGCCTCC